TTCCTTAAACATATATACCCTGGATCCTGGTGGGTTGACAGGAGAGAGCCAATTAACAGAGAACGCCCCTCGATCAATTCGAATGGCACGCCAGACGCGGTCTGGACTCCGGCCGTTCCTGCGGGTGTTTTCTAAAAGTGCCATTAATAGTCCTAGTGTTCCAGCCAAGGTCATCACAAAGGTCGCATTCCAGAGAGATAGTGTGGAGAAATGGGGAAGGGAGCGATATTATATCTTAGGCAACGACTATGAGGCCGGATCCGTCATTCCGATGCTTCGGGACCCGCCTAAAATGGAGGCGTTGCTCAAGAAGCTGATGAAACAAATTGAGATTGGTGTCAAAGGCATGGGGTCCCCTCAGTCCAGGATATCACGGATCAATTGAAGATGAGCGGTTTGATATGTGCGATTTCTTTCGGGTTGGATAGCGATGGTTCAGCATTCTTCGGAGTTGGGCTCTTTTCATGCGTTTCTTTTCCAGCTTTTTGGGCGGGAGTATCGGGATTTGATTTGGTTTTTTTGTAAATAGATCATTGGTGGTATCATTATACTAAAAGAACGACGGGGGCCGCCAATCATGGCAAAAGACCACACTCAATCGTAGCAGTAAGTACGACTAGTTAAGTGGTGATAAGGATTGAAGACGGTTGCATGTCTGCAAACGGCAGGAGTTTGGTCTGCCACCGGATTCGGTAATGACGGGCAGGGTCTAGTATTCGGAGGCGAATCACCGCCCGGGGCGCTGCTGCACTGAAACCACCTAAACGCTTGGTCCCGACGCTGTGGACGGGCGACAGTCTAGTTGATGCTACATAGACCTTTTCGATCCTGAACATCTTCCTTCCCTTCTTTTGCCTCCCTTTCCTCTTTCTCGTTCGTTTGTTCTTTTTAATCTCTTCAGGGATCTGCGATCCTTTATCGCCCCGTAGTGCAGTTAATCTTACGCCTCTCACCTGCCAGACGCATTGGTTGTGGGCAACAGGGATTCAAGCCAGCGGTTTCCTTTAGATCTAGGAACCTAGGGGTTCCTTTGTCTTCGGGGTACATATTCAAGGTACTGATGCGACTGGCTTCGGAGAGATGAACAGGCATCACGCCTTCACCAACGGCTACGCTGCCTACCCTCGCGGGCAGGGCAGCACATTTTCTATTTCTCCCCACCGGTAAGCCGCGGCCGCCATCGCATCCCGACTCCCACTTCCCACTCCTCAGCCGCGTGGAGGGGCGGTGCGCAATATGCCTTAATGCCTCTGACCTAATGAAGGATGTTTTGCTGACTCTGCTTCGTGATCGCTAGCTTCCAACCACGTTCACAACCTGCTCTGCGACGACGAAGACAACTGATCCAGCGGCTGTTCCTGATTGGCGGCGTCTCGTTATTACTCTTTGTCCTGATTTTTCCTTCCTGGAGAACCACGATTCTCCCAGTGGTATCCCTTGGACTTCTTTCTTCCACAGAAGACTTGCAAATACAAACCGTACGATATTATGATCTATCAGCGGTTCAGGGCACCGCAAATGGATGGGAGAAAGAAGAGCGTGTGCTCATGTGCACCCCTCTTAGGGACGCCTCGTCCCACCTACCGATGTTCTTTTCGCATCTCCGAAACCTCACCTATCCTCACCACTTGATAGATTTAGCTTTTCTGGTCTCGGATTCGAAGGATAATACGCTAGAAATGTTGTCCAGCATGCTTGGGGAGCTTCAGGCCGATTCTGATCCACACATGCCCTTTGGTGAAATCTCGGTTATCCATAAGGATTTTGGACAGAAGGTGACACAGGATGTCGAGAGCAGGCATGGGTTCGCTGCACAAGCTGGACGGAGAAAGTTGATGGCTCAAGCGAGGAATTGGCTGTTGAGCGCAACGCTTCGGCCGGCTCACAGTTGGGTCTATTGGAGAGATGCTGATGTAGAAACGGCGCCATTCACCATCATAGAAGACTTAATGAGACATGATAAGGATGTCATTGTACCAAGTGAGTGAAGCAGCCTCCAGGCCTGGTTATTTTATCTAATAAAAGCCTCTATCAGATGTTTGGCGGCCACTCCCCGACTGGTTGGGTGGGGAACAGCCCTACGATTTGAACTCGTGGCAGGAGTCGGAAACCGCACTAGCCCTAGCAGAGACGCTGGATGAGGATGCGGTTATTGTTGAAGGGTATGCTGAGTATGCGACATGGCGGCCTCATCTTGCCTACCTTCGAGACCCGTACGGCGACCCTGACATGGAAATGGAGCTCGATGGCGTTGGCGGTGTTAGTATCCTTGCAAAGGCAAAAGTGTTCCGTGCTGGAGTTCATTTCCCAGCATTCAGCTTCGAAAAGCATGCCGAGACTGAAGCATTCGGCAAGGTAAGACCTACTTGCAACTGCCCTTTCGTTATTTCCTTGCTAAGTATAAACAGATGGCCAAACGCATGGGGTTCTCCGTTGTCGGTCTACCGCATTATACTATCTGGCATCTTTACGAGCCTAGTGTCGATGATCTTCGGCACATGGAGGAAATGGAGGAAGAGCGTAAAGCTCGTGAAAAGGAAGAAAAGGAACAAGCCGAGCGGTCAGAGCGTGTGAATACTCTCTTCCGGGATACTAAATCAGAGTCGGAAATCGATAACGCTCTTGTTCGCGACGATATAGAATCCAAAGCAAAGGAGCAGAAAGTCTCGGAAGATTCGAAGAAGCCGGAAGCTAAAAGTGCTGGGGAAGTGAAGGCAGATCAATCCGATCAATCCTCAAAAGCCCCAGAACAGAAAGAACAGAAAGCTCCAGAGCCTCTGAAGAACAAAAACATGAAAGATGCAGAAGAGGTCCCTGCGGTGAAACTGGCTAAGGAACAGGACGGTGCCGCGCACGATGAGCAATTGAAGCAGAAAGAGTAACGATGCTCATTATTACCATTCTTTATGTATCTGGCAGCAAATGGCATCAGTTCAAAGTCCGTGAAATACGGAGAACATCACTGACTATTGCGCCTCACCAGTCTCTGTGCTGGTCACAGTGTGGCTTTCTCATTCTCCTTATAACCTGCTGTCAATTACTGGCAGCTTTTTGTATATGGGCTCGTGGAGTGTTTGTGGCTTGACTTATACATCTGATGTTTGGTTTATTTGTAGGTCTGATATTGGGCAGCACTTGTTTTATTTTTCGATGTCTTCACGATGCGTCTGTATCAACCGTTTACCTCATGGGTAAAATGCATGACTTAACTATTTGTAACTAACATACCTACGCAAATTATTTTGCTCTAGAAGAGTCTGGAACGAAGCAAGGACATTTGACCCAGGGAGACTCTTATATAAGAGCTCATACATTTTGATACTTCTATAAAGCCGGTTCACTGCACTATGAGCTACTAGCGATGAGTCCAGCTTATATTTTCAAGCTTTTCTTCGCTACAATATCCTGCAGCACGTCATGTATGCCACTTGTTGTAGTATATTTTCTTCAGATCTTCGAGCAATCATTCTAACTTTTATGTGTTTCTCAGTCTAAGGCAGGCCATACGCTCATATAACTTGTCCAGCACAAGATGCATTCTGTAAAACATGTGGTGTTAGGTCTAGATGGCTGCTGTATCTATGCTCTTGCATGTATCTCCTACAAAAAGAGCCATCCGGAGAGCCCATTTTAACTTAGAGCCCTCGTGGGCTACTCGTGCCCTGAAAATTGGCACCAGAGGATCAAGATATCTTAGTTTGAAGCTTCGGGCCTTTTTCTTTTGGATATTATGATCGGAAAGTTGGTGACCCTCGTGCTTTTCATAGGGAAACCGCCTCGACTGTGATTATGTATAGTTTTTTCATAACTTGAAAAACGAGTGAAGACATCTTCAGAGGATAGTCGGTCAATGAATATCAACATTCCTGTGATGTCGGAAAGGTATGGTGGAAGTCGACAGTTCGTAGCCCCTAAAGATATTGTTGGCATTTGCAACCTATCCCTCGACTATACAAATACAGCATAACATATTATCTAGCATATCCTTCTCAGAGGCTCTACAGTCTTCGATGTATTGAATCTCTTTCTAGAGAAATAATTGAGGAAATAAATAATCGGCGTTCTAGCCGTAGCATCGTCAAAAGAGGATCGATAAATATCCGAGTATTAACGTGGCGCCTGTGAAGGCACAAGATCAAGTTCAAAATAACTTATTGTCCTTGACAAAGTTTTATTTGCTAACCTACCCAGATTATTATCCGACTCTACAAGCACTTCCCTCTACTACGTGGTTAGTGAAGATTGGCAGCAGCAATAGGATAGTGCATTTCATTGAGGCTTAAGTATCTTCTAAAGAGATATTGGAGGTATTAGATCTGTCTGAATAAACTAGATAGATTTCCCTGCTAGTCTTTCAGGTCCTATCATTTGTTGGATTGAAACCAAGAACTTACAGTACGGCCTATGGGTTGAACATGATGTGTTAATGCAGCGGCACTGGTCCAGGACTACTTTACATTTTTCCAAATAATCAAGAGTTAAACCCAGTGCATACAGAAACAAACTAATCCTCGAAAGCCTCAGAGAAAAAAACCTGTTTGATCCCCACTAAGCATGGGTAACAGGGTGTGTATCAAAATCAACAGCGTGGTCAGGAACATCCTGAAAATCATGCAATTTGTGCAAAAATGAGAATTCCGTTTGTCAGCTGAGATGCCATGTTAGATTTACTTTGAACTCCACTGGATCTAGGATTAGTTGTTATTAAAATAAAAACAAAACACGCTCATGAGTATATTATTCCTGGCGAATAATTGAAAGCCCCTTTAAGTGAGTACATTTATCTCACAACTAGAGATATACTTATACGGTTGGTGGTTGTATAGCCTTTGAGAAACATTGTTTAGGCTTGGAAGCAACCTTTTATTGTATGAATGCTAGCCTAGGCCTCTTTTATGTACAGGCAATAGGGTATCATGGTATTCCTTCATGGCCGCCATGCCAGGATGGACTAACTCTCTTTTCAATAGGCATAATACACCATAGTTTTGGTATCAACGGCCCCCGTAGCGCAATGGTAGCGCGTAAGACTGTATGTTCACACATCCAACATCTTAACTTTCAAGGCCCATTAACTAATAAATCAATAGTCTAGCTTTACAAGCGATCTTAAGGTTGCGAGTTCGAGCCTCGCCGGGGGCTACCCCTTCTTTTTGTTTTGTTGAAATTTCTACAATGTCGGCAAGCCTCTTGTGCTTTGTAAGTCATACCTGATAGACAGCGGAAACAACAAACGCCCCCGTAGCGCAATGGTAGCGCGTAAGACTGTATGTTCACACCGTCGCAACCTTTGCCTTCCTGACATCATAACTAATAAATCAATAGTCTAGCTTACAAGCGATCTTAAGGTTGCGAGTTCGAGCCTCGCCGGGGGCTGCCCTGTATAATTTTTGCCTCATTTGTTTTCTGCTCCGTCATTAAACCTGCTGATACTTGTAGATAATAGTTCGGAAAATTTGACCAGCGGCCCCCGTAGCGCAATGGTAGCGCGTAAGACTGTATGTGCAAACTGCTGAAATATATCTTTCATGACATCATAACTAACAATTCCGAAGTCTAGCTTCAAAGCGATCTTAAGGTTGCGAGTTCGAGCCTCGCCGGGGGCTTCCCCTTATTTTTTTGTTTTTTTAATCTTCCCTCATAGTTGCTACTCTAACAATGAACTCATTGTAACATATCTTTTCGGTCAATAATTGCCACCTATGATTGAAAAATCCATTACTTCACCCAGTACGGAGTAGTATAGTAAATATTCCGCTGTTTCGTTTGAACGTGACCGTTTTCCAACGACATCCCACATATCAATACGATCCATTAAGCAATGGTCTGTGCGCCCACCTCGCGGCACGCGTATGAATCGCGTCCAGACCCCGAACAGATTATTCCCTACCATTCTCGATAGGCCTATCTTCTGTCGTCGCATACCCATCGAGCGTTGGTATATTCCGTCCCAGCCACTACTTGAGCGTCTCCCAAGGGCGACAAAGACCAAGACATCATGTCTACACAAACCGCTTCTAGTATCCTTTTCACCCACACATCCCCTCAGCAGGGGTTCAAACTACTAGAGTTACCACCGGACCTGGCAGATCTGCTCACATCAAAAGAACCTCCAACGTATGCCACGCGCCAAACCATTCCATCCCTACAACGTTCTTGAATCCTTTCAGGAGAAACTGACCAAAAAAAAATCACAGCCTCGAACTAAAATCCCTGACCCCCCAACAATCAATGACGACCACCACGGACCCTGAATACCGCGAATATGTCAATCTCTGTACGCCGACGAAAACCTACCTCATTCGCCAGGTCCAATCCTCCAACTCAATCCACATAATCCGACCAAGCGGCTCCGGTGTCCAGCGAGGAGACATTAACATCGTCGGCGGCGATGATGACGACGAATTAGATCTCGTCCAGACGATGACCGCTATCGCGAAATGTGGGTCTACACTTGAACTTCATACGCCGCCGGAAGGGTTCTCGGCGGCCCCTATTCTAGAAAGGATATTACCTGTGTATGATGAGATGGAAGGAGCGGAGCAGAACATGGAACAAGGGGACGTGATTCGTAGGGTCTTTGCTGATGTTCCTGTGTCGCGGGCGCAGTGCGAGGCGGGGTGGATTGAGCTTTGCGCGTTTGTGCTTGGGTGTGGGGGACATGGGAAAGATGTTGTGGGTTGGTGTCGGAGGCCGTCGGCCAGGGTTAAGTTAGATGTGTGGAGACGGGTGGTTGAGGGGGCCGTGTTACAGGGGATTGATTTGGATAGGCAGTTTTTGGTGCAGGATTTGTGGAGATCAGTGCTTGATGAGGGGGCGGAGGAGCCGTTTCCGAAAGCGTTGTTTGAGGGCGTCGTTAGGAGAGTTTGTGAGGTTGGGGATGGGCAGTTGTTCGAGGATTTGAAGTGTAAGTCTTTCTTACTATTCTTTTTCTTTTTTCTTTTTTTATTTTTTCTTATGTTTTTCTTCTTGTTCTATCTGAGATGGTTGCTGGAGGGGATGTGCGGATTGATTCTTAACTGACATTATCTTGGATATAGGGGCTAGTATCGATAAAACACGCTGTACACAGTGGGTTGGTGAGACTTATCTGGAGGCTAAGGCGCCCGCCACTGTTTCTGGCATCGGGCGAAGTGAATTTCTGAATGCTTGGAAGGATCTCCTCCCGGAGTCCTGGCGGGACGATGTTGCATTCTCGAAATTGACGGTGAGTGGAGCGCCTGACACTAGAATATGCGCTACTATCATCATTATATTCTTCATAGATGTTACGGTATCTGACATTATACGCAGGAGAATTCATACAAGCATCCAAATCCCTCGACGATCTGCTTTGTTTTTCGCGCTGATCGCCAGAAGATAAAGAAAAACGTCTCAACAGATCCTAGTGCCACCACTGCAGCCAAAAAGACAAGAAATTGGCACGAGTTATTCAAGAACCAGAAACGCCAGAAACGCTAAGCCAAGTCCGCGAGGGCCTGAGCGTCGCCTCTATAACCGGGCCGGTTTACTCTAGATAGCCATCCCCTCTATTAGTGTCATGCATTACTCGCCGAGAACCGCTAATCTGGCCGACATTCAGCACCAAGCGTACTTCTCATTCCAGATCCACTCAGCATCCTTGCCTTGCTCGGCGCCACTCCATCTCAAGCAGGCGATGCTATCCTTCTCCCGATGGATGACCTGTGCCGTAGGGTCTAGAATGGCAACGGCCCTTTTTAGCAGCGGAGTTGGATTCCAGAACTGGATCTTCGCCATATTCCACTCATGCGCCTCTAGCTGGGCACGTCTTATGATTGCAGCCATGGCTTTTGCGGTTTTTTCTGTTTCTTCTGGTGAAGTTGGTTCGTCGTACACCCACCTCAGGATGTACAGAGTGTTTTCCTCTGAAGTTTCACCGAAGTTTCTGTTCCACGCACAGTATACCTTGGATTGCTCATCACCGGCACCCTTGATCAGTGGTGGTGCTCTGTCCTTGAAAAAGATATTCGCGTAGTATTCCTCCCTTGCCCAGTGCCACTTGAAGTGATCAAAGTCCGGGACTACCGCTATTTTGGCACTTGCAGATTTCTGAGATGCCGTGCGGAGGATTTCTAGCTCTTTGTGGACGACATCGTTGCTGCACATGAAACGGTGCACGTCGTCTGCAACCAAGGTCCTCGCCTTTGGAAGGTTTCCTCGAACGATGGCTCGATCATATTCATCTTTTGACAATGGGGTAAGGTTGAAGTGTGTAGAGGGATAGGGAAACCAGCCGAATTGTGCATAGAACTTCTTTCCGATATCAGAGTATAGGACGCTGAAAGGGATTCTATTGGAGGCCTTGGGCTCCGTTTGCCAAGAATCTATTTTCTTGACCAACTCTTGCATCATTCTTTTCGCATATCCCTTGCCTCTAAAGTCAGGTCGACAGAAAACACTGCCGATAGTGAGGGCGGATACATGTTCCAGTTTACCGTTTTGTGCCAAGATTGCCTTCTTTTTGTATGTCTCGCAGGAGCTAAGGATAGTGCGTTCGCCTTCCGGTTGGCCTCTGACAACCAACAACCAGCTCGTCAAGCCATCCTTGGTCAATGCTTGCTGGGCTAAATGATGTTCTCGTGCAATATACGAATCCAGGTCCAAGGGGCCCTTCCAAGCTGGGCTATTCAGCTTTATAGCTGCGACGCGTTCCTCCGGCGTTGCCTGCACTAGGATCAACTCCGGGGATTCGCCTGAGGGCAAGGTAGCGTTGTCAAGATAGGTGTTGTCAGCAGCAATCATAATGAACACAATGCGAGCCGTTCGCTTTCTCTCTCCAAAACCTAGCGCTGAAATGTGAAACCGAGGATGGTATTATAGCAGGGGGTTGATAATATGATGGCGGGCACCCGTTGTGTTATTCAGAGGAGAGCAAGTATTGAGATCTAAAGTTGAGGGTAGCTCTTAAGGACAGATGTACGTCTTTGCCATTGACCCAAAAGACCCGGGGGTAGTTATAGTAGAAACCTGGGCCCCATCCGCAAGGGAAATTGTTTCTGTTTGTCACGTCTGCCGACGACAAGCGATGCGAAGCGGTACAAAGTTGACTCAGCTGGGGATGTACCTGCCTCTAAAGGTTATACGATGAAGACCATGACGTAGTGAGGGCGCGGAGACAACCAAAGGGATCCAATTGCAACCTCTGAACGGGTATATTGCATGTATCATATGCGACAGGCACCTGAGATGTCCTCTTTTTGCCTTCTTCTGATCTTACAATACCTTACGCTAGATGGTATCTTATCGACCCCTGTCGTAGGCTGTGTGGTCACTCTTACCGGCTACAGCAGCCAGCTTTCTTAGCGGTAAATTACTATGGCCCTCGAAACTCCAAAAGCCGGTCCACGTTATCAACGGATATTAGTCATCCCTGCGGAGGATGACCTGACTCCCCAAAGCAGCAGGCGGTCTAGTCTTACTGCCAACAAACTTCATGTCAGATCCCACTACACATCATCCGATCCCTAGCTAAAACTCCTGTTACCTTGAGCTGTTGTTTAATGGGGTGATAAATTTAGACCACACAGACACACACATGCACACTGTGTTAGAGTGAATTTGCTGACCCAATTTTGACATTTGCATGACGTTCGGTTTATTTGCCACGTCCTCCCTCTAGAGTCCATAATGAGAGCATAATTCTGGGGTAAATCGCAAGTCCCCTCCTGAGAGCCCCACCGCGACAACTCCGTTTAAACTTCTATTTACACCTTTCCCGCTTGGGCGATCTTCCCCAAGCCCCACAGATATTGCTGCCGAGTATACAGCTCAGTGCTAGGAAGAAGGCCTCAAAAGGCTTATTTTATGAAGAGGAAGCCTACTTTGAGGATTAAACAAAAGAAAAGAAACAGATTTTAATGCGTGGGTGCTTTTCACCTAAGGTGAAGTATGTTTCACACTACTCCTTTCGATGTCTTAAACACTTCTTTTCATACCGTGGGAGAAGTTTTATATCGATCTGGACCGTTGGGCTTCACTTTGACGTTTCTTTTAAATGTGTTGGCCGTTTAAATGCCACCTATTTCCATGGTGCTTTGCTTTTGTCATCATGACTGGGTCTTTGTACTTGAATGGGATTTGTTCCATCACGATGACCTCGTTTGAGGCCTGAAACTAGCCTCTTGAATACTGGGCACAGGATTCATGATTCCCCCTTACAAGCAGCATTGCCTATCTCTTATTGATCATTCTTCCTGTCTGGCCTTATAATGCTGTTCCTTTCTAAAATTTTATCTACGCAGTTTCGCGATCGTAAATATCGCCTCAGCCATTCGAAAACGCCCAATATGGACGGGGATCCCATGGGGTTTGGATACCCGTGGACTCAGGCTGTTGACGATTTGAGGGTCCCTTTTGGCGATGAGAGACTACTGCTGGGTGAGATCCACCAGATGCATTGGGGACTCGACGGTCAGAACGATGATCTGGGCTTTCAGTGGAATGAGCCTTCTCTTCCTGTTGCAAGACCTACAAAGAAACTGAGAAGCCACCGTCCCAGTGCAGTCGTGGACACTGCAGGTTTGATTGACGAGTCTCTTCCCATAGGCCTTGATGACATTCCAACACCTTCACATCATAACACAAA